GTGGTCCACATGACTAGAAAGTCAAGGGTATGCAGTGGTCCACATGACTAGAAAGTCAAGGGTGTGCAGTGGTCCACATGACTTGAAAGTCATATGTGTGTAGTGGTCCACATGACTAGAAATTCGTGTGGTCCATAATGTTCTCTCTCATCTGCTTCAAGTTCTTGGAAACTTGATAATGTTACTTTGAACAAAACATCGAGGTACGACAGTATTTTTGGATCGTGTAAAGTTTATCCCTTGTGGAAGCTGTGACAGATGTTATCTTGGACAAACTGGAAGGATGCTCGAGGCCAGAGTCATACAGAAATATACAATAGCTACTGGTCAGGAAGTCAGTGCTCTGTGGTATCTACTGGCCAGGTAGTCAGTGCTCTGTGGTAACTACTGGCCAGGTAGTCAGTGCTCTGTGGTAACTACTGGCCAGGTAGTCAGTGCTCTGTGGTAACTACTGGCCAGGTAGTCAGTGCTCTGTGTTAACTACTGGCCAGGTAGTCAGTGCTCTGTGGTAACTACTGACCAGGTAGTCAGTGCTCTGTGTTAACTACTGGCCAGGTTGTCAGTGCTCTGTGGTAACTACTGGCCAGGTAGTCAGTGCTCTGTGGTAACTACTGGCCAAGAAGTCAGTGCTCTGTAGTAACTACTAGTCATGAAGTCAGTGCTCTGTAGTTACTACTGGCCATGAAGTCAGTGCTTTGTAGTTACTACTGGCCATGAAGTCAGTGCTTTGTAGTTACTACTGGCCATGAAGTCAGTGCTTTGTAGTTACTACTGGCCATGAAGTTAGTGCTTTGTAGTAACTACTGGCCATGAAATCAGTGCTCTGTAGTTACTACTGGCCATGAAGTCAGTGCTCTGTAGTTACTACTGGCCATGAAGTCAGCGCTCTCTAGCAACTACTGGCCATGAAGTCAGCGCTCTGTAGTAACTACTGGCCATGAAGACAGCGCTCTCTAGAAACTACTGGCCATGAAGTCAGCGCTCTGTAGTAACTACTGGCCATGAAGTCAGTGCTCTGTAGCAACTACTGGCCATAAAGTCAGTGCTGTGTAGTAATTACTGGCCATAAAGTCAGTACTGTGCAGTAACTACTGGCCATAAAGTCAGTGTTCTCTAGTAACTACTGGCCAGTGCTCTGATCATTGCAGTGATACTGACCATTGTATGGATTGGACTAATTCCAAATAAATACTCCATGTAATAAATTCTATCGTCCAGCGAGTTTTTCTGGAATTATTGCTCATTAATTATGACTCACAACACATTTCAAATTCGAGTTTTAGCATTTATAATTGATTATTTTATAGTTGAGAATATATTTCATAATCTTTCGGGTAAAAATGTGTTACAGAACAAAGATGATTGGTGCCTTTGTCAGAGAAACAAGTGTGCCTTTGTCAGAGAAACAAGTGTACCTTTGTCAGAGAAACAAGTGTACCTTTGTCAGAGAAACAAGTGTACCTTTGTCAGAGAAACAAGTGTACCTTTGTCAGAGAAACAAGTGTACCTTTGTCAGAGAAACAAGTGTACCTTTGTCAGAGAAACAAGTGTACCTTTGTCAGAGAAACAAGTGTACCTTTGTCAGAGAAACAAGTGTACCTTTGTCAGAGAAACAAGTGTACCTTTGTCAGAGAAACAAGTGTACCTTTGTCAGAGAAACAAGTGTACCTTTGTCAGAGAAACAAGTGTACCTTTGTCAGAGAAACAAGTGTACCTTTGTCAGAGAAACAAGTGTACCTTTGTCAGAGAAACAAGTGTACCTTTGTCAGAGAAACAAGTGTACCTTTGTCAGAGAAACAAGTGTACCTTTGTCAGAGAAACAAGTGTACCTTTGTCAGAGAAACAAGTGTACCTTTGTCAGAGAAACAAGCGTACCTTTGTCAGAGAAACAAGTGTACCTTTGTCAGAGAAACAAGTGTACCTTTGTCAGAGAAACAAGTGTACTTTTGTCAGAGAAACAAGTGTACCTTTGTCAGAGAAACAAGTGTACCTTTGTCAGAGAAACAAGTGTACCTTTGTCAGAGAAACAAGTGTACCTTTGTCAGAGAAACAAGTGTACCTTTGTCAGAGAAACAAGCGTACCTTTGTCAGAGAAACAAGTGTACCTTTGTCAGAGAAACAAGTGTACCTTTGTCAGAGAAACAAGTGTATCTTTGTCAGAGAAACAAGTGTACCTTTGTCAGAGAAACAAGTGTACCTTTGTCAGAGAAACAAGTGTACCTTTGTCAGAGAAACAAGTGTACCTTTGTCAGAGAAACAAGAGTACGTTTGTCTGCGTCCTGATGTGTATGAGTGTGACAATTAATGTTGATAACTGAAGAATTAGACACATGTGCAGCATCTGGTATATTTATCATAGACGATTCTCCTTCCAGTACTTTTATCAGTACAAATTCAAGAACATAACTGGAAGACAGTAGAACCATATTCTAGAGGTGAGATAAATAGTCTCTCAGCCAAGTCTGAGAGTTATACACCTTATGGTGTATATATACACTAAGTCATACAAATATTATAGTGCATATATACACTAAGTCATACAAATATGGTGCATATATACACTAAGTCATACACCTTATGGTGCATATATACATTAAGTCATACACCTTATGGTGCATATACACTAAGTCATGCAAATATGGTGCATATATACACTAAGTCATATATACATATATTAGTGTTTCTCTTCATATATATATACATGTATATATATATATATTATATATATATATATATATATATATATATATATATATATATATATATATATATATATATATATATATATATATATATATTATATATATATATATATATATATATATATATATATATATATATATATATATATATATATATATATATATATATATATATATATATATTTATATACATACTTATTGCAGTATTCCAGTTAACTGTTGCAGATATTCTAAGCTGGTCAGAAAATATTAGACCAGCCCATTTATATTATTACAAGCGACTGAAATGATTTATTTCTGGTTCTATATTTCACACAATAATATAATATTACCAGTATTATTTTTCCTGCCTTTACCCAGGAAAATATCTGCAATTCAATTTATTTTCTTCATATATTCCTAATAAAATATTTTATTTCGCTAGAATATTTTTTTCTTTAGAACGATTTCGAACCTCAAAAATGTGTTATATCATTATTTTAGAATTAAAACAATGAAGAGAAACACTAAAATAGGCTGAGAATGGTGGAGGCCTAGTTAGGCCCAAATACACGGTGGAGGGGGAGTCTGGTAGCCTGGCTGTCTTAAGAAGAGTGGATGTGAGAGTCTGGTAGCCTGGCTGTCTTAAGAAGAATGGATGTGAGAGTCTGGTAGCCTGGCTGTCTTAAGAAGAGTGGATATGAGAGTCTGGTAGCCTGGCTGTCTTAAGAAGAGTGGATATGAGAGTCTGGTAGCCTGGCTGTCTTAAGAAGAGTGGATATGAGAGTCTGGTAGCCTGGCTGTCTTAAGAAGAATGGATATGAGAGTCTGGTAGCCTGGCTGTCTTAAGAAGAGTGGATATGAGAGTCTGGTAGCCTGGCTGTCTTAAGAAGAGTGGATGTGAGAGTCTGGTAGCCTGGCTGTCTTAAGAAGAGTGGATGTGAGAGTCTGGTAGCCTGGCTGTCTTAAGAAGAGTGGATGTGAGAGTCTGGTAGCTTGGCTGTCTTAAGAAGAGTGGATGAGGACTGTCTGGTAGCCTGGCTGTCTTAAGAAGAATGGATGTGAGAGTCTGGTAGCCTGGCTGTCTTAAGAAGAGTGGATATGAGAGTCTGGTAGCCTGGCTGTCTTAAGAAGAGTGTATGTGAGAGTCTGGTAGCCTGGCTGTCTTAAGAAGAGTGGATGTGAGAGTCTGGTAGCCTGGCTGTCTTAAGAAGAGTGGATATGAGAGTCTGGTAGCCTGGCTGTCTTAAGAAGAGTGGATGTGAGAGTCTGGTAGCCTGGTTGTCTTAAGAAGAGTGGATGTGAGAGTCTGGTAGCCTGGCTGTCTTAAGAAGAGTGGATGTGAGAGTCTGGTAGCCTGGCTGTCTTAAGAAGAGTGGATGTGAGAGTCTGGTAGCTTGGCTGTCTTAAGAAGAGTGGATGAGGACTGTCTGGTAGCCTGGCTGTCTTAAGAAGAATGGATGTGAGAGTCTGGTAGCCTGGCTGTCTTAAGAAGAGTGGATGAGGACTGTCTGGTAGCCTGGCTGGGCCCTGAGGGACAGTGGAGGGGGAGTCTGGCAGCCTGGCTGTCTTAAGAAGGGTGAATGAGGACAGTTTGGTAGCCTGGCTGTCTTAAGAAGGGTAGACGAGAGATCTGGTAGCCTGGCAGTCTTAAGAAGGGTGGATAAGGACAGCCTGGTAAAGTCACTTATACAGAAACACATCATGTACTGCATGGCCACAATGACAGACTGTGTGCAGATGACAGACAGACAGTCTCCACGCAGAGATGTCTTGCTGGAAAGCAAACTTGCATGTTGTGTGACTGCCTTGGACGCCATTATTTAAAAAATTGTCAGCCAGACATTTTATGTGTTGAAATATTTGTTTTTTGTGAGTACTTGACATGACTCTTACCTCCTGAGTGATGGTGCTCTGAGTACATGACATGACTCTTGCCCTGACTGATGGTGCCATGAGTACATAACATGACTACTGTCTCCTGAATGTTGGGTTCCCACTACTTTCCTTCAAGGAAAATAGGTTCCCCTCAGAAAGGTACTCAGGAACTCCAGCTCCTGAACTACCACCAGGGCACTCTCACGGTGGTTCTTGATTTATACAATATAATTCCCATTATGCGAATATATCTCTCCAGTTTCTTAACGTTGACTGTAAACCTAACGTTTACCTTATTCTTCGCTCAGGTTCCATATAATGTACCTACAAACACGAATGTTGGAGTACACATAATGAAATTACAGGGAGGTTGTGTACTCACGAGGTGTTAGGAGGTGGAGGGTGTGCTCACTAGGTACAGGGACTTATGTACGTACTCACCAGGTACCACTGGTAGTGGAAGTAGGGGTCAGTAGGGTCCTGGTGACTGTGGATGGTGTGAAGAGGTACCAGGTTCTCTACCTTCAGTAACTTGTACCCTCTCTTAACCCTCTTGAAGCCGGCCTGCTGGTACGCCCAGTGTACCTGAGGCAGATACATGGGGTGTTAGATCCTGTGGCAGATACATGGGGTGTTACATCCTGTGGGAGATACAGGGGTGTTAGATCCTGTGAGAGATACATGGGATGTTAGATCCTGTGGCAAATATATGGGGTGTTAGATCCTGTGGCAAATACATGGAGTGTTAGAGCCTGTGGCAAATACATTGGGTGTTAGATCCTGTGGGGGATACTTGGATTGTTAGATCCTGTGAGAGATACAGTGGGTGTTAGATCCTGTGGGAGATACAGGGGATGTTAGATCCTGTGGGAGATACAGTGAGCGTCTTAGAACCTTCAAAACACACAGAGGTGTTAAAACCTGTAGGAGACACCTGTAGGAGACACCATGAGGAGACACCTGTAACCACATTAAGTAGCTAGAAGCAAAGAAAGACCAGAGGTAGTACTGGTAATTGTGGGAAAGATGAGTACTGGAAAGTGTGGGAGAGGTGAGTACTAGAAAGTGTGGGAGAGAAGAATACTGAGTACAGAAGTAGAGAGGAACTGCTTGAAGACCTCTATAAAGTGGCTATCGATCTCCACAGGTCTGGTGACGGCTCTGTACCTGTTGATAAAATAATGAATATTTTACTGACGGCCGCAGCACTCATCCTCCAGAGGGTCAAGGCTATTGGGATGCTTGCTACTATGCTGATAAGATTGCTGCCATGCTGATAAGAGTGCTACCATGCTGATAAGATTGCTGCCATGCTGATAAGAGTGCTACCATGCTGATAAGATTGCTACCATGCTGGTAAGAGTGTCACCATGCTGATAAGAGTGCTACCATGCTGATAAGATTGCTGCCATGCTGATAAGAGTGCTACCATGCTGATAAGATCGCTGCCATGCTGATAAGAGTGCTACCATGCTGATAAGAGTGCTACCATGCTGATAAGATTGCTACCATGCTGGCAAGAGTGTCACCATGCTGATAAGAGTGCTACCATGCTGATAAGATTGCTGCCATGCTGATAAGAGTGCTACCATGCTGATAAGAGTGCTACCATGCTGATAAGATTGCTACCATGCTGGTAAGAGTGTCACCATGCTGATAAGATTGCTACCATGCTGTTTAAGGTGCTACCATGCTGATAAGATTGTTCCATGCTGGTAAGAGTTTTCACCATGCTGTAAGAGTGCTACCATGCTGATAAGATTGCTACCATGCTGATAAGATTGCTACCATGCTGATAAGAGTGCTACCATGCTGATAAGATTGCTACCATGCTGATAAGATTGCTACCAGGGCTGATAAGATTGCTACCTTTGCTGGAAAGGGAGTGTCACCATGCTGATAAGAGTGCTCCCATGCTGATAAGATTGCTACCAGCTGAAAAGAGTGCTACCATGTGGTAAGAGTGCTACCATGCTGAAAAGGGTTTGCTCCATGCTGATAAGAGTGCTACCATGCTGATAAGATTGCTACCATGCGGGTTTAAAAGTGTCACCATGCTGAAAAGAGTGTACCATGCTGATAAGATTGCTACCATGTGGTAAGAGTGTCACCATGCTGATAAGAGTGTTTACCATGCTGATAAGATTGCTACCATGCTGTAGAGTGCTACCATGCTGATAAGATTGCTACCATGCTGGTAGAGTGTCACCATGCTGTTTAGAGTGCTACCATGCTGATAAGATTGCTGCCATGCTGATAAGAGTGTCACCATGCTGATAAGAGTGCTACCATGCTGATAAGATTGCTACCATGCTGGTAAGAGTGTCACCATGCTGATAAGAGTGCTACCATGCTGATAAGAGTGCTGCCATGCTGATAAGAGTGCTACCATGCTGATAAGAGTGCTACCATGCTGATAAGATTGCTACCATGCTGGTAAGAGTGTCACCATGCTGATAAGATTGCTACCATGCTGGTAAGAGTGTCACCATGCTGATAAGAGTGCTACCATGCTGATAAGATTGCTACCATGCTGGTAAAATAACTACCATGCAGGGAAGAGCACACAAGGAGGCTATACCCTAAATCATATATCATTATTCGTTCCAGAGGCTCAAAGCTCCATTTAAGATGGCAGATCTATACGTAACTCTAACAGTATTGAAAGAAATGATAATTTCAAATTATCATACATCAGTGTACAATAATCTGCAAGTCCAAGGTATGAACGACCTTTCGGCCAGTGGAACGGCAGACCAGATGTGACCACCTTGGTCTCGCCTCTCGTAGTTCAGAGGGAAATATCTTCACTTAAAGACGTTTACAGTGCCAACAAGAGAAGTCTTGACATATAAGACATGTGTACAGAAGATGGGTATCTTATCTGATAAATGTTCATCTAGTAGCCAACGTGTACCTGAGTGTTAGTTTTCGTACAACTGCTTCCTATGTTCACCTAGCAGTAAGTCAGAGAGTGTTACTCAGTGTTGTGGGTCACATTCTTGGGAAAAACTTGAAGACTCAAATAATGTTGCTGCTGCTGCTGGTGACCAGGAGACACAGGTGACCAGGATACACAGGTGACCAGGATACACAGGTGACCAGGATACACAGGTGACCAGGAGACACAGGTGACCAGGAGACACAGGTGACCAGGAGATACAGGTGACCAGGAGACACAGGTGACCAGGAGACACAGGTGACCAGGAGACACAGGTGACCAGGAGACACAGGTGACCAGGAGACACAGGTGACCAGGGGACACAGGTGACCAGGAGACACAGGTGACCAGGAGACACAGGTGACCAGGAGACACAGGTGACCAGGAGACACAGGTGACCAGGAGACACAGGTGACCAGGAGACACAGGTGACCAGGATACACAGGTGACCAGGAGACACAGGTGACCAGGAGACACAGATGACCAGGAGACACAGGTGACCAGGAGACACAGGTGACCAGGAGACACAGGTGACCAGGAGACACAGGTGACCAGGAAACACAGGTGACCAGGAGACACAGGTGACCAGGAGACACAGGTGGCCAGGAGACACATTTGACCAGGAGACACAGGTGACCAGGATACACAGGTGACAAGCGAAACAGCAAGGGAACTGGATACAAGAGACAGAAAAGCAGGTGGGAGAAATAGTGACAATAATGAGTGAGGGAAGAATAGCAGGTGGGGGATGGGGAACAACAGATCTCAAATCAGGAAACTTGAAAGGGATGAAAGAACTGCTGAAAGCATTGCACTTGTAAAGTGACCCGGAAGCAAAATCAATTAATGGGAGAGAGGACCTGGTCGGCAAGCACCAGGAAGCAGGCAACTCCACATCCAGGAGACGACAAGGAAATAGAAAAAACAGAGAACATGTGGTTAAGCCTAAGATGAAGAGAGAAAAAGCCATTAGGATAGTGGGAACAGTATAGAAAGAGAACAGGGAAATGAGTAGAAGAGGCAAAAGTTAATTTGAAAGTTGAGGAGAGGTCAAATGACAATTTAAAAATGATATGACAGCAGAAGCCAAATCCGAAGTGACGCTGGTTTACAGTCACAGAGAGAGAGAGAGAGAGAAGAGAGAGAGAAGAGAGAGAGAGAGAGAGAGAGAGAGAGAGAGAGAGAGAGGAGAGAGAGAGAGAGAGAGAGAGAGAGAGAGAGAGAGAGAGAGAGAGAGAGAGAGAGAGAGAGAGAGAGAGAGAGAGAGAGAGAGAGAGAGAGAAAGAGAGAGAGAGATGAATTACAGGGATGTTAGGAAGTATTTCTTCAGCCACAGAGTTGTCAGGAAGTGGAATAGTCTGGGAAGTGATGTAGAGGAGGCAGGATCCATACATAGCTTTAGCATGAGGTATGATAAAGCTCATGGAGCAGGAAGAGTTACCTAGTAGCGGCCAGTGAAGAGGCGGGGCCAGGAGCTGTGACTCGCCCCATGCAACCACAATTAGGTGAGTACTATTACTCTGGTACCATGTGATCTAGGTCATAGATTGTAATTCATGTATGTTAACTGCAGGTACAGTAATTATTTCTATCCCTCCCCTCTATGTTCCCTCCCCTCTATATTCCCTCCCCTCTATATTCCTTCCCCTCTATATTCCCTCCCCTCTATATTCCTTCCCCTCTATATTCCCTCCCCTCTATATTACCTCCCCTCTATATTACCTCCCCTCTATATTCCCTCCCCTCTATATTCCCTCCCCTCTATATTCCCTCCCCTCTATATTCCCTCCCCTCTATATTCCCTCCCCTCTATATTCCCTCCCCTCAATATTCCCTCCCCTCTATATCTCTATATTCCCTCCCCTCTCCTATCTTCCCTCTCCTTTCCTATGATCCCTCCCCTCTCCTATCTTCCCTCTCCTCTTCTGTTTTCACTTCCCTCTCCTACCTTCTCTCTCTTCTCCTCTCCCCACCGTCCCCTATTTCCCCTCGCCACTTCCCCTCCTCTCCCAAAAAAGAAACAGATATCCGATAATCTGGAAGGTATGTTATGACTGTGTGTAAGAGAGAGAGAGAGAGAGAGGAGAGGAGAGAGAGAGAGAGAGAGAGAGAGAGAGAGAGAGAGAGAGAGAGAGAGAGAGAGAGAGAGAGAGAGAGAGAGAGAGAGAGAGAGAGAGAGAGAGAGAGAGAGAGAGAGAGAGAGAGAGAGAGAGAGAGAGAGAGAGAGAGAAGAGGGAAGTGAGAGAGGCTTCAGAACTCGTGAAGATTGTGATAGTGACTCCAGAGTCCATGGATATTATTCCCGCTATTGTGATACGGATAATAGAGGGGATAATATCTCTCGTGTCTCATCATCCCAGGATATCCCACGTCACTGTATCATCCTTAACACATAATACAAGAATTTGCATGAGTATGTCATCCACAGCAGACACAGTGACTCTGCCAGCTGTTATAAACCAAATCTTCCAGTGGACCACTGACAACAATTTGATGTTCAGTGAGGACAAATTTCACTTACTACGTTATGGAAAAATGGAGAAAATAGAAATAAAATCGGAATGCAAGAGAAACTCAAAGTACATAGAACATAAGACAAATGCGAGAGATCTTGGAGTGATAATGTCAGAAATCTCACGTTCAA